TGTTTTATGTCTTTACTTGCATCAAGCATTAATAACCAGCAGTCAGCAACGGTATAATTATTTGTTAACTTCATAAAAACCATCAAAGTTTAGGGTAGTTTTTCTGAGAAGAGCCCTGTGGTTGTCCTTGGACAAAAAATTTATGTGGAAATTCTGAGAAGACACCGGTCAAAATTGATTATGCTGAGATGAAAAGACTGGAGGCAAGACTGGGTTGAAGGAAAAGGCCCTTTCGGAAAACTAGTAGAAGAAAGGGAAATACGCTTAAAATTAAAAAGGGAAAATTTCTGAAATTAAGTCATATAAAGTCCTATCCATAGTAATGAAATTATAGAGACCTACGTATTGCTAAATTCTCAAAGTGCACAGATCCTGATTTCCTGTGTCTGTGGGGTACCTATTTTTCAACCTCTTTGTATGGACTTATGTTTCTATCATCAGAGAAATAAAATGACCACACTGACTATGAAACCTCATTTCACCTTTTTAAAATGGTAGAACAGGAATTCAGAGCTCAACTTAGAATTACTATGACAAAAAATACTCTGCAAAAGAAAAAAAAAAAGAGCAACTTTTGGCAAGTTAGTAGGATACTGTTTCTTTATTTTTTAAAGAATTATTTTATTTAACTTTTTATTTATTTATTTTAATTTGAGCAGAGATGGACAGAGTGAGAGTGAGCGTGAGAGAGTGAGAACAAGACCGAGAGATAGAGGAAAAGTGAGAAAGCAAGACACCAGGTCCGAAACTCGAACCACAGTCGGCCTTGTGGGAGTCACCACCCTTAGCCACCACGCCACCTGCTGGCCCCAAGGATACTACTGTTCCTTAATGAGTGGATTAAGTTTTAATTAAGAGTCACTAAGCAAAAAGGAAAAAGGAAATCTATTTTCCTTTTTCCTTTTGAGAAGATATCATGTATTCAATGGGGACTTCATTCCCCTTTTAGGTAGCTGAGTTATTATTTAAGACAGGCTTCTAGTAAAATCCCTCATTCCATAAATAGTAACTCTCCAGGTGGCTTTTTAGTCATTATGTTCCTGCTACTTACCACAGCCATCAGAGGGCATCTACCCTTGCCTTGGGACCAAGATTTTGAACTGTCAACATGAAAGTACATATTTTCCTGCAAATGCCACAAACAGATCACTGTAACCACATTTTTCAGTATGATAATGAGAAGTTTGAGCCCAGAGAAAGGCCACTCATGTCGCATCTGCTGGTGCAGAATTAGCCCTTTAAGCACAGGGGAAAAGGTAAGTTCAAAGGGGCTGTAGGTATTAATCAGCTGGCAAAAATCAGTCCACCCCTGTTCCTCATATCCTCACATTCCTGGCTTTGGCTGCTTGTCAGAAAATAATGTGATCTTCCAAGGCCACTAGTTGAAATCACTTGCTTTACTCGTGGTTTAGTGAGGACTGATAAGAAACCACTGCCTGATTCTCAGTTAAGCTGTCATCCCAAACCCCAAATGTTTGCTACTCTGAAAAGTAGGTAATATGACCACTTCATATGAGATAAAAAGGTTTCTCTCTCTTAGTATATAGCATATAAACACTATATAAGATATATTTGCTATATATTGTGTATTGTATAACATGTATTTGATATATATTGTGTCATCAGAAAAGTCATGATGCATTTTTAAAAGAATTTGTGTCATCAGAAAAGTCATGACGCATTTTTAAAAGAACTATGTATTTTATTTTGTTATTATTGTTATTATTATTTTTAATTTGACTAGAGAGAGAGAAAGAGAAAGTGAGAAAGCAAGCTGCCAGGTTCAGGACTTAAACTGTGGTCGGCCATGAGTGAGCCCAGCACCTTGACCACTGCGCCATCTGCCAGCCCCATCATGATGCATTTTTGTATTGAAAACATAGAAAAATGTGTCATGACTTTTCTCATAACCCTAATATATAATTATATGATACATGATGTATTAACTATTATGTATTCTCAATAGTTACATTGATATAATACTAATATGGGATAAACTGGGTCATTGGAAAAGTCATGACATACTATGTTTTTCTATGAAAAAAAAAAAAGTGTCCTAACTTTTCCAGAGACCCAATACATATTATATTTAATTATATGATAATACATTATCTATATCTTTTCAGGCCAAAAGTTGTTAAGGCTTTAAAATATGACAGACAGAAAAAACAATGATACTAATGATCTGTTTCTTCCATGCTAGTTGCAAAGCATAAGAATAATAGTTTTAGAAGTCAGGACATGTAACGAGAAATGTAAATGCCCATGCACTCCATGCCAGCTCCGTCATTTACCATGTCCTCTTTTTTTCAGCTACTGGCTGGGCGCTGGCCTTTTGAAAACAATGACTTTGGCGTCTTTCTTTGCAAGCTGTTCCCCTTTTTGCAGAAGTCCTCAGTGGGGATCACCGTCCTCAATCTCTGCGCTCTTAGCGTCGACAGGTAACTTGCTTCTTTCCCTTTGCTCTTTGATTGGATTAGAAAAATGGATATTTCTTAACAAGAGAAGTCAAGAGAGTTGGTGTCCAGAATAGCTGTTAATTAATCTGAAGCATTTTGCCTATTATATCCATTTGGCACCCTGAAGGCAACAAAGGCAAAATGAACACAGTAGCTGGAATAAACTCTGTGAAGTAGAGCTCCTAGGACACACAAATGCTTTCTTTTCTTTTTTTTTTTCTTTCAGAATTATTTATTTAACTTTATTTATTTGTTTGTTTGTTTGTTTTAATTTGACCAGAGAGGGACAAAGAGAGAGAAAGTGAAAAAGCAAGCCACCAGGTCTGGGACTCCAACCATGGTCGGCCATGTGGGAGTCCAATGCCTTCAACCACCACACCACCTGCTGGCCCCCAAATCCTTTATTTTCAACTGGCAAAGTTATCATTAGAAAAAGAAAAATACCATTCAATTATATTTGTGGCATGTAATGATTTGAACTGAGTGGTAAGAAGGCTATATTGTTACATTTTTCATGCTTTTTTCATAATGCCTAAAATGTTTCGTAACTTTGAAAAAAAAAAAAGAGGACAACAACAGAAGCAACCCTTCATCCAATTCCTAACAAGTATATCAAACTCTTTCCAGGCAGTCATTCCAGTCTTTAGAGGACTCCACATCTGGCTGTTACGAGTTCTCTAAAGAGGCCCTTCTGAATCCTGTGAATTTCACCTTCCATTTTCATAGCAGCAACTATAAAGAATGAAATTAGGAATTTTAAGCACATTCTATGGTGCTCTTGTATATTTAATATAATCTTACACCATTGGTGTATAATGTCCTCTTTGGCTTACATGCAACTTAAAGAGATTTCCATTTTTACCAACTCATGCTTTGACAATCACTTTATCAGAGAACCTGAGTCTCATCACCATAGAAATGAAAGGCCTACTCTGTTAAAGGACATTTAAGTGTTAACATACATCGTTACTTATAATTTGTCATTCACTTTTGAGACCAAAATTGTTATTATTATCAAAATGCTCATTCAAATAGTAGTTGAAAATTACAATGGTATCCTTGTTATAAACTTATGGCTACAAAAACTGCAAAATACAAGATAAGCAAAATGTTTAGTGTCTTTACTAAAAATAAATTTTTTACTTGAAATTAAAACACAAAAAGTAATTCATTAGTTGTTTAAAATGCATAATCCTATTACAAAAATGTCCCCACTACAATAGTAAAATCAAAGTTCAGAAAGAACATCAGCTATTAGTAGGACTGTTAGTGATTTATAGGGAAACCTGAGGTCTATTTGAGTTATTTCTGTATCAAATCATATGTTAAACGCTGCTGCATAAAAATGCAATCTATACAGGTGGCCCCTGTAGAAATTCCACTTGGCTAAATAACAGGTTATGGTACTTGTGATAAACACTTATGATCTGGATTTGACTTGCTAATAAATTCTTATTCTGATATTCCCACTCCCAGCACTCCAACACTTCTTTCATCCAAACTATTATTGTATCTAAAAATTAAAGATCTTAAGTTCTATCTATTATATTAGTTATACAAGTAAATTTTAAAAATATTTCTCAAGCTCTAAATTTAAAGATGTAACCATGTATTATCATTATAATCCTCAATTAAGGAATTTTACTAAAACTCTAAAAGCCAAGGGGGGGGGGGAGGATGAGAAAATAATCAAACCTTTTGTAAAAAGAACTTTTTCTACACACCTATTCTTATACGATATTTTAAAGTATTATAAAACTGCAGTGCTTAAGACAATGAACACATGACAAATTAATGGGGAAAACCAAAAACTGGTGTTGGATTAAAACAAGAATGTAACAGGAGCTGAAACCATTTTGAATATAATGTGGAAAGGAAAGATTCATCAATAATTGTGTTATTTAGCTATCTGCATGGAGAAGCATGTCAAAGTCATCTTATGCTATATATAAATAATAGTATGTCTAATAGATACTATTTGTTGAGTGTCAGTAAGTACTAGGCCCTGTTAAAAATACTTTACTGGGACCAGCAGTTGGTGTAATGGACTCCCATGTAGTGAACCACAGTCTGAATTCCAGACCCAGCGGCTTAAACTCATGCCAGGCGCGTGTGCATGTGCACCCAAGATCCCAAGAGGAGAATGGAGGAGAAGGGATTGCAGTGTGGCCATCTCCCCCAGGAGTGATTTCTTACTTTCTGTCTCTCTCTTTCTCTGTCTCTCTCTTTCTGGCAAGCACACCTGCTCTATAGCAAACATCTCTCAAAAAAAAAACTTTACAAACATTATCTTATTCAACTATGACAAGTGCTATAAGTATCCCCATGTTACAGATAGGGACGCTGAGGTTAAAAGAGGCTAATGAGTCTACATGGCTACAAATGTTGGATCCCACAATCAAATGCATTCTTAACCTCTCTACTCAACCCTGTAAAACTTCAAGCCATAGAGCAGAAGGGAAAACAGACTAGTATCATTTGAAAAACAATGACCTTGTGAAATTAAATGGTAGAAATTCTAGATTAAGTTCTCACTGTATAGTCATGTGGTCCATCGCAATGTTTTGGTCCACAGTGTGGTGTCCCATGAGGAACACACGGGCTACCCCATACAGCCAAGGTATGTAGTAGGCTATTCCCTGTAGGTGTAAGTTCAGTCTGTGATGTTCATGCAAACGAAGAGATCACCTCAAGATGTACTTTTCAGAAAGTACCCCCCACCTCTAAGCAATGCATGACTCTACTTCAAGAGATAAAATGTTGATACATTCAGATAAAATATTCATAAAATTAAAATCAAATAAATAAAACATAAGCTGGGGAAAATATTTGTCACTTCTGCCACAAGCCCAGGGCCAGGGCTGGTTCCTCCTTGCACTTTCTTTTCACCTTCCCTTTTTTCTTTAGGGGAATCTTGAGGAGAATCTTGCTGAGCTTCAGTCATCCACAGTCTGAGTGCTACCAGTGTATGGGCAAGCTAGGGCACAGATTCCTACTTGTGCTACAGGGTTTGGTTTCTCTTACCCTACCAGCTCTTCTCTCCATCACATGCATAAAGAAAAATATGCTTTTTATCACAACAATCAGTTGCATATCAAAAGAAAGATGAGCCATTCTTAGTTTAGAAAGAGAGAGAGTCCAGCCTCACAGCTTAGTAGTAATGGAAGTCAGATTCCATATGGCTGACTACAGATCAGATCTTGACCCCAGCAATGTTAAAAACAGGTTGGGTACGTGCACACACACACACCTCCCAAATCCCAAAATGATGGAGAAACAGAGGACAAAGAATTACATCATTAACACACCCGATTGGGCCCCGCTTTCTCCCTCTCCCTTTCTCTCTCTGGCAAGTGTACATGCTCTCTGGCAATTTTTTTTTTTTTTAAGTTTTTTTGCTATAGGATACCTGCGCTCACCAGAGAGCCAAAAAGTGAGAAATTACACCCCCGGCCCCTGGGGAGGATGACCACGCCACAATCCCTTCTCCTCCATTCTCCTTTCAGGATTTTGGGCACTTACACACACGTACCCTGTGTGTTTTAAGCTGCCAGGTCCAGGGCTCAAACTGCAGTCAATCAAGTAGACGTCCAACAATGTAACCATTATGCCATCTGCTGTTCCTACCTTCTGACATTTAAAAAAAAGAAAAAGGAAGAGAAAAAGAAGGTCTATCTATTGTTCCAGACAGTAGTGTCCTGCTGTGTGATGGCCATATGGGAGGCCCAGGTTTGGATTCCAGGTCAACCTAAGCACACCAGCTCATGGGTGGTGCAACAAGACACTGTCATGGGTACTGCCCTGATTGCCAATCTTAAAAAAAAAGGAAAGGAAAGGAAAAGAAAGGAAAGGAAAGGAAAGGAAAGGAAAGGAAAGGAAAGGAAAAAAACTTTTTTAAAAAAGTAATTATAAGAACCTATTTCATCACAATTCTGAGTTTAGACCAAGGAGATGAGCCATTTTAAATTTCTGCTCCCACAGAAATCCACCTTAATCCAGGAGGTTTCTTCCTTGGTAGGAAAGTCATCATTCTCTGTTCTCTAGATCCATTCTTTACTATTTTTACATTTCCCTCTAAGCTTTGGGAGCTGTGCATGGGGAATCTATTTGACATTTCTATTTCAAAAGCTTTTGCACCAGAGAATGAATCATTCACACTTAATTCCTGAAGATAAGATGCCATTTACTTTCAGTCTTTATTTGGTTGCATTAGATTCTACTTTTAAAAAAGAAGGTCACTTTTTAAAGAAAAACAAGGAGTACAAAGAGAGAATTGGGACCTGTTTTAAAATAATTCATGAATCTCTGCTTTCATGTTACAAGTTGAGTTAAGTTATGGCCCAGAAAGAAGAGTTCCCATGATTTTTTTTTACATGATATTTTCAAAATATGATAATTATCTCTCATTTTAGAATTGTTTCAAGACAAAAATGACAGAAACCGTACATCCAAGTTCTATATAGTTTCTTTACTACTTCATTAATCACTCAATGCTTACAGAATACTGTAAGGTCAAACAAAAGGTCTAGCTTTCTCACTATCAGCTTTTAATCAGAATAAAATAAACAAGACACTAAAAGCACGCGATTTCTACCAGAATGTATGTACTTTCACTGTTAATCTCCATGATGGTGTTGTCTCAGTTTAACGTTTTTACTAATCCCTCCTCAAATCTAACTTCTATTTACTTATTTCTAATTTCACATCCTTCATCACTTAAAAAAAAAAAAAAAGATAAAGTAGAAATTTCAGAAAAAGACTAAAGAAATTTAGGAATTTAGGAACAAACTTTGACTCTTAGGCCGCCTTATCAGTGATTTTTTTTTTTTTTTAATGCTAAGGAAATATACTTCTAAAATGAAATGAACTTTTCATCACAAAATGTGAATAATTAACAATTAAAGTAGGTATTCTTGCCGGCCATCAGTAGCAAGTTTAATATGTTACTTTGAGCTCATTAGGAGCTGGAAGGGGTACCAGAG